TCTCGTTCTCCTGAGTCTCCTGCATAGACGGGTCCACAGCCTCGGCAGCAGGTATTAAACATCTTATATCAGGGCATAAGGGATGCGGATAATTCAGCCTGGTAGCTTCCAGTGCGGGTGGCGGAGCTTTTTTTGCGCTGGGGCACGTTTTGCTTCTCTTCCGCTTCTTCACCGTAGCTGTCTTCTCGTGCTTCACTGCTGCGATCTCTGTCTTCACTTTTGCAACCGGGCTGTCAAAGCTCCCCTGGGAGTTGCATGAACTAACCCAAGCCGACCCGGGGGCCCGTGAGGTAGGTAACTGGACAACGGTTCCCAAAATTATGCGAACCAAGCCTTAGTTCCAATTCTTTTGGGTACCAAGAAATTGTTGGAACCATAGGGTTTTGCATGAGATTGTCAACACCCAGCTATGTGAACAGAATGATGTCCAACACCCCAATAATCTTATGAAGAAAACCCATTTCTTTGTGTGTGCGATTGCTTGGATTTTGCACCTTATAGGTTTATGGTACAGGGCTACTAGTTTCTAAGTGTCGGGTCCTAGAGGGCGGTGCTGCCACGACACTCAGCCCGCACACGATCCATTGATGAGGCTTGAAGGTATTGACGTTGAGACGAAGGGTTTAAGAAGTCCATGCAGGACCCAACAAGCACAAAAAGTATTAGCTATTGAGGCCAGCCCGCTTGTGGTTCAATAGCTTTTGTATGGGATTTCGGTTTGGGTGGCATGCTTAGCAGATCCAGCGGGTGTATAGGGATTGTAGGGAATTTCGGGTTTCGCGTTATGGCTTTCGAGGTGCACCACGTAGCTTAGGGTTTAGGGCTTAGGGGTGTGCAACACAATCCCCAGCGCCGTCTCCGGATCCCATGTCGCCGACATTTTCACTTGCGCGTCTGGGACCGAATCTCGGCTGGCACATCGCTGAGGATCCTTCAGGGGTTTCGATATGCAGGATATATTTATAGGGATTTTAGGTTTAGGGTCGTACAGATCTAGAGCTTAAGGGTGCTGTTTTGGAAGTGGCAACGTCCTGAGCATGCACCGCTTCAGAACCCGGTACTCCCAGCGAGTACTTCCGGAGTTAGCTTTGATACAGATGGGCTTCAAGAGCCCCATCGAATCCTCCTGACTGAATGTGTGGAAGAACCTGGGATTTTGACCTCGATGCATCTTCGAGGTTCAACTAATAATATCTATATGGCATCACATGTTCTTGCGAGCGAGAGTCACTCGTGTCTCAGATCAATCAGCATTTCTTCATAGACCTCGGTACACGACAGCTGACAGCCCATCTCAACGACCCTGCTTAAGCAGCCTCAGCCGAGTCTCGTGAAGCTTTGGCCGCACAAACCAACGAAGCTGCTGCTTTTTGGCAAAGCGCAGCGAAATCTCCCGGAAGAGCTTCAGAAATTTGATGCCTGCAGCTATACAGAAAACTTTAGGATTTCAGGGCTTTGGGTTGAGGGCGTGTGTAGTACGGAGCACCCATTCCGGTCCACAAAATCATCCAGGAATCTCGTTCTTACTCTCTCTCTCTCTCTCTCTTTCTCCTTCTCTTTCTCTCTCTCTCTCTCTCTCTCTCTGTCTATTTCGCTCTCTGTCTTTGACGCTCTCTGTCTCTCTCTTTCGTTCTGTCTTTCGCTCTCTCTGTCTTTCTCCTCTCCTCTCTCTCTGTCTCTCTCCTCCCCTCTCTCTCGTCTCTCTCTTTTTCTCTCTCCCTACTCCCTCCTTCTCTCCGATGCAGGCCTTGAGCATAGAGAGAATCAGCAGTGGATTGGTCCAAGTATCTGCCCAAGCTTTCCGTCCGTAGCTGCCAGTCAGCTATCTCATACCTATAGGTCTCAGTGCGTTACCTTTCGGGTTATACCTTCACGTTATGGCCGCCCAGGTTGCAGGTATAGGGTCTTAATAGGGCCGTGGGTCCTGGGGTTTAGGAGATCGGATGATAGGGTTTCGTCAATTTCCGGGAGCTACCTCTTTGCAGCAATGTAGCACACAGCTCGTGACGAGGATCGTGAGCTCGCGCCGCTCGTCGTGGGATGCCTGGTCTTCGGCACCTCGCCGAGCACATAGGATCTGCTGCGTAGCATCGGACGTCATGCAATCCTGAATAGCTATACGAAAAAATTAATAGTAATTAAATATTCATGCATAATATTGTAAGCTATATAGCTAGCTTATTAAATAATTAGTTATATACTTTCACAAAATAAATTATATTAGTGACATAGCCAGAAATCAGCAAGCCAGCCCAACAAGACTCTGCAATTAAACGCTTTGGCGCCAATGTACGGATAATCATCCGGTGCCAAGTGCAGGGTCGCAGATCGAAACCGGCGTTGGGAGCAGCCGATTTTGTGAGAATGGCACCAATCTCTGAAGCTGTTGTACGCCTTCTGCAGCCTTGCATCGATATCATCACCTTGATAAAGGTCGTTTTCGCATAAGTAGAGAATGCACTCTGCGACCAGGGTCTGGAACACCCCCAAGTTCAATGCGTGCATTGTGCACGGTCTCCTGGATCAGGGCAAGAAATTTTAATTAACTATATAACTTATATTATTAGGTGGTAAAATGGCACTACACAAAAGCATGCAATTGCAATGTCTGGAGAAGAATGCAGTCTAGATTCACCAGATCAACGTGGTAACCTGGTACGAGAACAAACGGATGCAAAATCGGCGGCATGCCTTCTGTAATAATTTCGATGTTGGATCGCCTGCACCATGCTCGACCGAAATTCGTGTACACTGTTCCATGGGTGTCCCGTTTAGCCGCATCACACTTCGGACATATCCGAAGTGCTTTCCAGTGCCGCCGGAAGCCCCAAGTCTCCAGCTGGTACTTCCAATCCCCCCGGAATTCGACGACAGCATACTGACGACTCAATTCCGGTCGAGCTTTCACCTTCTCTCGCTCCTGACGAGTCAGCTCATCCGAGGTGCCGCCTGGACCGTGATGTGGACGCCTGCCGTGGAAAGCTGCCGTGAGTGACCACGCAGCTCTGTGGTAGGCTGGCCTCAAAGATTCCTTTCAGGGCTCTGGAATTTCGGGATTTGGGGTACGAATCTAGGGTTGTTAGAATTATATAAAGCAAGTTGCATTGCTTCTTTAAGCTTTGAAAGTATATATATATATATATAAATTATATATAATTATTTTCAAAGCTTAAAGAAGCAATGCAACTTGCTATAGTACTCTTAAGAGTCGCACACCCAGACAACACCCCCATACATTTGGAACCCTCGCATAGTAAAGTCGATGCATGCTACATCTCCTCACCCGCACTGAGAAAGGAGTTGAGGATGAAGTACACGAAGTTTTTGCTCCAGGGGTTGCCTGCAAGGTCGGCTCAGGTTTGAAGCTCTCAGGTTGCAGGTTGGGGGGTTTAGGTGTTCAGGGTGTGGTTTCGGAGTGCCAGGTTTAGGGGTTTAGGAGCAGTATAGGCGAGGGTAAGGGTCGGGTTGATTTCAGTCTCGACACGGGCCTTTGGGCCGATGTAAAGTGAATGTAAACATCAGGGCAGTGAAAGCATCGCCTTGTTTACTGAAATTTGCTTCGTCTCCATACACCTTAGCACATGGGAGCAGACGGGCATATGGAATTATTTCAGAATCTTTAGTGTGTGCTCCCCGGAACGTACAGTAGACCATACCCCGAAGAAATTATTACACCGCTAGATAATAATACAGCCAGGGACGGATATCGGGACGGCCGTCGATGGAGCTGGATGCTTCTGGGCCCAATCGATAGATCTGCTTCTGAAGTGTTCCCAATATCTCCTTGGTTAATTTTTTTATATAGTTAGATCCAGATAATCCACTGCGCATGCCCCGTTCTGCAATGCAGCTTTGCAGCCTGATCTCGTCATCAGATATCCTCACTCTCTCAGTTCGCCACAGGTATTCGATGTACTCGTGGGGATCGATGAATGGAAGCTTTGTATGAATCCGTCGGTCAGATGTCGGGTCTTCTGGATCCAGTAGTGGCACCGTGATCCAGGCGAAATCCTCGTCATGATTGACTTGCTAACTTGCAGGCTTGCATTGTATGGAATGACTGAGTATTTGCTCTGGAAGTGCTGTCGAGTCTCTATAGGCAACCGCACAAAACGAAACAGGTCTCTATCAGCATGCTCCAGGCGCTTGGAACGTGTACGTAGAGCAGCCAGTTGTCTCGTCACATTACTGACATTACTCGATCCAGCTTCCTGTCAGGGTTTTGGAATTGTCGACGGGTACTGGGACTACTAGGGGTTTAGGGCGCTAGGGTTCAGCGGTTGATTCTAGCATAAGTGTCCTTCACAGCAGCTTCTGCATTGAGTAAAACATCTTTGGCACTTTCCTTGCCCTCGCCCATAGATCTGAACCTCATGTGCCCAGCATCCGGCACTATGTTACGGTATCAAACCCCAAGTATTGGGTCCCCGACATTCGAGCAGCAAGTGACACATCTTCGCCAACTGCATCGTCGTCAGCATCATCTTGCCGTTTCCCTGCGTGGGGTTGTGGGGTGGAAAGAGTGACACGACCGTGCAAGCTTTCAAGCATGATCTAGTCGGCTCTATAGGATCAGATTCAACGGCAAAATTAAAGAGGCTTTTTTCCAATGCACATGTCCCAGAAGACCGGTACTCAGGTGCACCGTCCATCCGACACTGCACCCGCGATCCTAAGGCCCGGGGTCTCATGATGTTTGCGAACAAATTGCTAGAGCTGGTGTGCGTACCAGGTCCCGCTTTGCAGCTTGCCCCAGCTTGATAGCCATTCCGCGAGCTTTGATTCTGTACATGCATGATCGGTAAGTACTGCTGACTTGCTAGGTATGCACTCCTCCATGACGATGCACATGGCTACCATGCTCGCTATGCAAGTGCAGAGGATACTCGCACACAGCACACATAGATAGGTAGGGTAAATCAAAATCATCACCACTCCATGGTCGATCCCTTACTGGATACTCCACGAGTGTGTGAACACGTTCCCCAGCTGGCCAGTTTCTAGTCCTTCTTCTTCGATCTGCCTTTTGCTTTGGCTTTGGGCTTGCTCTGGCTCGTCGTCTTGCGTTCAGCAGCTTTCACCGGCTCGGCACAAGCTTTGAATTTCTTCAGTAGCTCTTGCAGGTCCTAGGTCTTGGAGTTGAATGACGGAGACGGTCAAAGAAACTATAAGCTAGCTCGTGTTTACTATTTCAGCAGGAGCATCCTCCACCAAAGGCTTCAGCCTCGCTTCGTCGTATTTTTTGCCCAATGCGGAGGCCACCAACGCCTTCTTCTCCATCAGAGACCCCTTCAGCGACTCCACGTCGTCCAAGATTGCTCGCTTCATCTTTGGGGCCCTGGCGACAACATGTAGGGCTTCAGGGTTTCAGGGATGTTTTGGTTTTTAAATCAGAGACTGGGAATATCACAAGAAGGTGCATGGGCAGATACATGCAGCTGGGCTTGGGGAGAGTGTGGCGACTCGCAAACTTTAAACAGCCTTTAGTCTCCAGCCAATCGGGTGCACCAAGAACCAATACTATTGAAACCATCACGTAGCAAGTTGGTCTGAATCCTTGGGTTTATTAATATTATATATATATATATATATATATTTAATTATATTAATAATATTATAATATATAATTTGATATTCTAAATATATAATTAATAAACCCAAGGATTCAGACCAACTTGCTAAATTGGCTAGATCTTGAAATCCAGGGTGCACTCCGGCAGCCGTGAGGGTATCCTCGAAGCCCTCACTTTCCACGATGTCGGCATTCGCCTTCTTGTCGGCCTGCTAGTGTTTTAAACACATCTCTGCAAAAAACAATGGACAGGTTTTGAGCTCTAAGGCTCAGAGGGTAAGGGTTTTCAGGGTTCAGGGGTTCAGCGCTTTAAGGGTCAAGGGGTCCGCACAATTAGGGTTTTGAGGGGTTTGGGGGTTTAGGGTTTTGGCGGGTAACCCGGCAACAGCACAGGAGGCCTGGATGCAAAGAGGGTTTTGGCGGGTTTTTGGGCTTCTTCGGGAGTTGCACTAGTGCTGGTACTAGTACTAGTAGTACTAGTACTTAGTACTACTACTAATACTCCTGCGAATACCAGTACTACTACTACTCCTACTACTACTACTACTACTACTACTACTACTACTACTACTACTACTACTACTACTACTACTACTACTACTAGTTACTACTACTACTACTACTACTACTACTACTACTACTGCTGCTACTACTACTACTGCTACCACTACTGCTACTACTACTACTACTACTGTTGATGATATAAATCCTGCATTAGCTTAAGGACCCTAGCTAAACTATGGGAACTATGGTTTTTTCCTTATTATGTATGGGTAATGCAGGATTTACATCATCAACCGTAGTACTACTACTACTACTACTACTGCTTCTACTTGGAGGTTCATGGGTGCTTATAAGTAGCGGGTGAGACGTAGGGTAACTATATACTTATAAACCATAGGGGACTGATACCCCCACTGAAAACTACCCGTGCCACCACTGTACGTGCTAGTAGCAATACCAGTATCAAGTACGTCCTGCTACTGCCAGTAGTACCAGAGCTGCTAGCACAGTAGCGACGGCAGCTAGTAGCCGTATCTGGATGCCCATACCACAAACCATGAATCTCAAACCCATGCCCTAAGCACCCCGACCAGACACCCGACCCTTGAAGCCAAGAGCCAGTTTGCAAACTGCCAAACCCATAAGCCCCAACCACGAATGTAGCACAATTTCAGTAGCCAAGCATCCAAGGCCAAGATTAGAATCCCTGTAGCCCAAAAGCCATATAGCCAATGGCTTGGAACCTATCCCCATTGAAACCTAGGCTGTAAACCCGATATAATTCAATCTTGCTAGTCGAACGAAGCCCTAACCCCCACACCTTAGCCCCAGACTCTATCATCCCCGACACGTTAAGGATCAAAGGGCTGAAAAACCTGCAGGCTCAACGATTAGAGCAGGGTTTCGAACCCATGCCCATGTCTGGCCTCGGCAGCCAAGGCTCGCCACGTTTTTTCCTTTTTCTCCTTCTTCTCCTTCACCTCCTTCGGCTTCCCGTTCTGCAGAGGCTGCGGGTCATCCTCCGCCGCCATCGCATCATCCCTCAGTATAATCAGGGAGGACACTCGAAGATTAATGTACAACTATAACATTATTATATAAATACATAATAAAGTAAGCCGTAGACATACCCTGCATGATCTCATCCTCATCCCCTTCTGCCGTGAGCTGGAACTCAGCCGAATGTGCGAAATTCTTCTGTTCCTCGTCTCTGATCTCCTGGAACGACTTGTAAAGCCGCATTTCCTGGATCGGAGGCTGTCATCAGGAATTTAGCAGGGTCGGTGGAGGCACAGTGTTTTAGTGAGGCAGTCGTACGTACTGTCCCCCATGGTCCTCGGAGAGGGGGAAGTCCGGGTGACTTAGCTTGCACATATAATCTGAAGGAGCTCGCGATAGTATTGAAACACATTATTGCAATTGAGATACGGGCGGACGAACTTGCCCGACATCTTCGGATCACTGGCCATGTGTCGGGTGGCTAGGTCTTTCGCTAGCTCCTCCCCGAGCTCTGCTTTTAGCACCCGATAGGACTTCCACAGATAGACCAGTTTGGACTTGCGCTTGGTCTCCTTCCTGCATCGAGATGAAGCGGATTGGGATCGGGCTCCGTTTTTTTGAAGTATATATACGGGGTTTTGAGAATATTGGGCTCAGACTGCGGGGTTTAGCTGTAGGTTTGAATCCCATGGAGTTAAGGGTTTTGCTTCTTCTAGCCTTAAAGACCAGGTTTTTGCGACGGAAGCTAGCTGCCCCTCAATTGGGAGATACCTTCGGGCCTGCTTGAAACCCCACCATCTTATTATATGAATAATTTAATGACTATAGCTCTTGATGCAGGTTGATGTGTGTCCTCATCGTCACCACGATCACACTGGACTTCCAATCGGCCCGGCAGCTCAGATAGTGAACGTAGAGCTCATGCATTTTGTGCGTCCGGTTCGCACCTGTAGTCGAAGATATTGCTGTATAATTGTGAAACACACACACACACACACCCACCATGCACAATAATATAATTTAGCAAGTAGCACTAGTACTACTAGTACTACGGTTGATGATATAAATCCTGCATTATCTGAAGGACCCTAAACTATGGGAATTATGGTAGATTCCTAGCCTTACTATGGGTCATGCAGGATTTCTATCATCAACAGTAGTACTAGTACTACTAGTATACTAACTAGTACGACTCCCCAGTGATGTAGCATTTAAGTGGCTGTGCTCGGCGTCGGCAAGCTTTTGCTGGACCTCCGGAGGGGCATTGGAACCTCGAGCTCGGTATGTACATATGTATATATGTATATGTGTGCTGGACATGATATATATGCTCATGTGCACATGTACATGCATCGTCGGTTGCACGAAATGGTTAGAATTTGCGATCCAGCTGGGGCTGGGGCTTCTGGCGCTTCTGTAGAATCGGCTGTACAAGGCAGCCGGGGTAAGGATCTGTCCATGTTTATTTTTCCGCCACGTATCATCCACCGGGCCCTGCTGCGCCTGATCGATGATACCGCTGTCCCCCTTTCCTTGCTCCTGACTCGGTGGCGGCTTCGGTGTCTCCTGTTGCGTTGCCTCGTTGGTGGCCTGCTGTGGCTTCGCCTCCTCTGGCGGCTTCTGTTCCTGTGCATCGGCCTGCTCCTTGCTGGGTGGCTGCTGCTGCTTTGTGCCCTGTGGGTGCGTCTGTGCTGATGGGATCTTTTCCTGCTGTGCAGCTGGGTCGCTGGTGGTCTGTTGCAGCTGTGTGTCTTGCGATGCCTCCTTGGTGGTCTGCTGTGGCTGTGCCTCCTTCGTGGTGGGCTGCTGCGGCTTTGTCTCGGGTGTCGGGTTCTGCTGCACCTCTTGCTGTGTTGCGGCAGCTACATCATTCATATCCTGTGTGTCCAACTGCATGGTGCTCTGGGTGTCGAGTGGCCGCAGTTTGCTCAATGTCTGCGCTTCTTTCTCGGAAAGATCCAAGCCATCAACCTGCGTCTCCAGCTCCCTGATAAACTCCTCCGCTTCTTGCTGCGTCAGCTCCTGCTCTGAGACGGTCGTCAGTCCCCGATTGAGTGCTTGCTTCACCTCCTGGCTTTGCTGCTGGGTGGGGGGATGGCTGGGTGAAGGCTCACTGGCAGGAGAAGGGGTGGAGGCCGCAGTGGTGGTTGACTCACGTTCCCAGGTGTCTCTGCGACCCCAAGTCCATTTGCTTTCGCTGTCCCATCCATAATTGTCCCAGCCCCAGCCAGCACTGCTCCAAGACTGGGGAGTCCATCCCCACCAGCCTGCATGCCATGTGTACGGCTCGTCATGTGCTGGCCAAGGCTTCTCCACAGACATGGGGCTCGCGGGTTTCGGTGACTTCATTGGGCTTTCGCGAAGCAAATTTCGTGGCCTCACTGGGGTCGCAACAATGCTGGACGGTGTGGGGGTTGGTGGCGGCTGCGACCCAGTGTCTGCGTAGCTCCAGCCTTGCCGGCTACTTAATCACTGTGTTCGTGTGCGTGCATGGTATGTGTTCATGCACACATACCATATGTATGTATACACATACCTGCACATACACACACACACATACATATACATATGTTTAATATTAATAATATAATAACAATAGTAATAGGCACGTATATATATATATATATATATATATATATATATATATATACATACATATGCATACATACACATACGTGTATGCTATGCATACATGGGTATGTATATAATTATATAATTTATATTATATATATACACACACACCGGCCTATATCTTGGTATACTATATATATATATATATATATATATATATATATATATGTATGTGTGTATATATATATATATATATATATAATATGTGTATGTATATATGACATACATGACATATACATATAATATTATATATATATAGATAGGTAGAACACATGTACAAATACCTGTGCAGACACTCCTACAGATCACCCCTAAACCCTTAAGCCCCTAAAAGCAATAATTCAGGAAGCCTCGTCTCACAGGCACAGGGGTCCCTGCCATGGCCACATCCTGGCTCACATAATCCTCTGTACCGCCCGTACTTGCCTCGTTGGTCGACGGCCTGTGCGAGGTGGCCACATGGTATCCGGATATCACTTGAAGACCCCAGCATATGCCTGCATACGTGTCTATGTGTAGAGACGAAGTGAGAGGTAGAGCGACAGACAGAGGGATAGAAAGAGATAGAGAGAGAAATCGAGAGCAAGCGAGTTCCAGCGGCTTTGGTAAAGTAGAGGTCTACTCTATCGATTATATCATTGTGGTTCAATCATTGCCTCCCCCCAATCGGACTACAGCAAGAAGCAGTGCGTAGCAGTTTGAAGATGGTACATGTTTCGAGAATAACGGAGCTTGAGACTCGGATTAGCAGATATCAAGTCACAAATTTCGGCAAGGTTCCTCTTTGCCACATCGGCCGGCTGCTTGCCGACGACCCGGATCTTCTTCAAGTCAGGGCTCTTGATGGGTGTCCTTATAAGGGTAGCTTGGTCTAGCCGGCATGGGTATGGCATGGGTATCTAGGATAAGGGTCCGGGTTTGGGGTGGTGCCTATATGATTTTCGAGATAGGGTTTGGAGTTTGGGATATTATATAATAATATAGGCCTAGGGTTATTGCTTAGGGTTAGGGGTTGGGTGTGTGGTTTGGGCGTAGAGATAGGGCTGAGGCTTCTGGATCCTGCCTAGCTATAGGCCTAGTCATCTGATAGGGTGAAGGGGTTTAGGCTTTAGGGTTTAGTTGCGGGCTTATTCTAACTTCGCCATATAACCAAGTCACGACTTGACCGACGAAGGGGTTTGTCCAGCTTGCGAGATCTTTGTGGAGATACTTGGGGCTGCCGTGCTAGTAGCGCTATTTGCTGCTGCAACTGACTCCTTCGGTGTGGATTGCACTGTTGCTGCACCCGGCTTCTTCGGTGTGGGTTGCACTACTGCTGCGTCCGGCTTCTTCGGGGTGGATTGCACTTCTACTGCTGCCTTCGGCTTCTTCGGGGTGGATGGCACTGCTGCTGGCGCTGCCTCTGGCTTCTTCGGGGTGGGTTGCCCTGCTCCGGCAGGGCTGGGAATCGACGTTCGACTCACAGTCCTGGCTAGATTGGCTCGTGCTTTGGCTTTCGCAATGATCTCCTGTGCTTTGGCGGCTGCATCACCTCCACCCTCCACACAGTTCACGCCGTTGCCACGCTTTCCCATATCCTGCAATTTGTGCGTTTGGGCGGGTTTAGGGTCCTACGGTTCCCAGGACACTTCCTACGGTTCCCACCTAGGTTCCTACGGTTCCCACCTATGTTCCTACGGTTCCCACCTACATTCCTACGGTTCCTAGAGAGCCCCGCTGGCCCCGCTCCCGGCGTTTTGGGCCCTCCCCCAAGCCTTTAGAGAGCCTTTTACACGCATTTTCCCAAGTGCTGACCAGCCTGTAGGCCCAGGGTTCAGGGTTCCGGGCATTATGGGGCCTTCCTAAGCCTCGTACGGCGCGTTTTCCCAACCTGATGACGTAACGGCTAGCCTTTAGGGTATAGGGTCATGAAGGGGCAATAGTATACGTATACAGCAGCTATAGTGGTAGGGCTTGTGGTTTAGTTTTAGGACGTATATTCAAGGGCCAATGGGGTAGGGCTTGGGGTTTAGCCTTTGGAAGCTTGGAGTTTTAAGACTCAAAGGATTACTCTTCCATGGCCCTCCCTACTCGCAACCCCCTGAGCCAATGAAACTCCAACCTAAACCAGAGCCCTGAGATACACAAAGATAGACATTTCTTGCACGAATTTCTGGCTTGAGTCGTCTGGGCTGCTAATAGTACAACTCGCAGAGACAGCCGTAATCTGCTCTATACAAACGGTCATACTTGCACCTGTCCGGTGTTGCTAAATAGTCGATGATATAAATTCGGGCACAGTGCACACACATCTTCTGCTGGCCAATAATCTTCACTCGACCTCGGACATCTTGATAAGCCAAGTTTGTCACCTCTGCCAGCTCGCATATGATCTTCTCGACCTTTTCACTCTCCGCCAGCTCATGAGCTTTCTGATCTGCCATGGGTCGCAAGGGATCGCGGAGTAGATAGCTATAGCACTGCACCCCCACAGACGTCTGCTGCAAAATGCTGCAGAAGAAGTGCACACAATTCCTACTAGTACTACTACTAGTACTACTACTACTACTACTACTACTACTACTACTACTACTACTACTACTACTACTACTACTAGTAGGTACTACTAGTACTAGTACTAGTACTAGTACTAGTACTACTCCAGATTTGGACACTTCAAAACCAAACCATACCAAAGCAGTTCTTGTCTCTTTGCAGACAAGAGCAAAACGCACATAGACGTCACCGATGTGCGTTTTGGATTGGTCCAAATCTGGCCAATCCAAAACGCACATCGGTGACGTCTATGTGCGTTTTGCTCTTGCTCTGCACTAGTACTAGTACTAGTACTAGTACTAGTACTAGTACTAGTACAACTACTACTACTACTACTACTACTACTACTACTACTACTACTACTACTACTACTACTACTACTACTACTACTACTACTACTAGTATTATTGCCAGTAGTAGGTTTTGCTGGTTTGTTCAGGGTTATGTGGAGAGGGTGTCGGATTTCCCTGTAAGTTAAGAGTAGACGACGTCTCCTCCAAGATGCATCGTGGCAAGAGATGCGGCAGCAGTATGCCTTGCCCAACTATGGACACGATCCTGAAGCTGCCTATGGACGAATATTCCCATGGGATGAACCTCAACTTCGGGTCGCATTTGCGGGTGTGCATCGTGGATCGTTCGGGCACAATTGCCTATATGCTGACAACAGATGGCTTTACAGCCTACAAGCACTGCAATATGGACTGGGCTCCGAAATAGACAGGAGCAGTACTTCCTACGACATCCTTCTCCTCCTGGTGCACCAGAGCGAGCGAGTTCCCAGCTCTAAGCCCGAGGGTTTTGGGCCAGGCACAACTAGTAAACTGCTAGTGGGCACAGCACAGACCTAGTTCTGAAAGCCACAAACCCTAATGCCAAAGACCCACGAACCCGTAGGCCTGAACACACTGTAAGCCTTGAAACGGCTGAAGGCCGAAGCGAAGTCCAAGTCTCCAAAACACCCCAAAACCTAAGTACTAGTCCTTAACCCCAAAAGAGCTTCTCCGGATAATCCTAACAAAAAACTAGCACCTTAAAATCTCGACACCCCCAACTAATAACCTTCCCCGAACCCAATGCCTCTCGCTGAGGGAGAAAGCTTCTGGCGCCTCGCAGGTTTCGGAGCTGGGCATGGGAGGGCAATGCTGGTACTAGTCGTATAGTCTTAGTACTAGTACTAGTACGACTGGCATTGGAGGGCAGTACTAGTACGAACGACCGAAACGGTGTAGCGGCGTGTTCTTCAAGGCTTTTTGGTGTTAGTGGTCTATTAGTCTAGTGTCCCATACACTCACGACGATGAAGTGGTGGCAACATACCCGGGGGTGTTTAGGGTTTGGTGTTGCAACTGCAGCATATGAAGCCCTAAACTTTAAGCCCTAAACCCTAAGCCCTAAACCCTGAGCCTTAAACCCTAAGCCCTAAACCCTAAGCCCTAAACCCTAAGCCCTAAACCCTAAGCCCTAAACCCTAAGCCCTAAATTCGTGCTGTACCGCACTATATACTTTCGAACTGGATGCGGCGTTTTGCATGCTGCAGTACTACCCATCACTGGAGGAGGAGTTCAACTCATAACTGCCCGCGTTCGGTTCGCCGAAAATTGGTGGTACTGGCAGGTCAGTGGCCAGAGCTTTCTGGCCGTTAAGGGGAGCCCCACATATGCATATGCATCGACCCTGGGCCTGGGACATGTGCGAGACAAGGCCCTTTGAGGCATTTGCGAACTGGCATACCTAGCTATGTGCTATGGCCTACTGAGCAGCACGATCGACGTCGAGATCTCCTTGTGGGATATTTAATTATATTATCGATATCTAGATACATATATATATATATATATATCAAATTATTATATAGCTAGGCCAGATCTTGCACCACCCGGGGCATGACGATTCCTATTTCCACCGAGATCGCTTTAGGGTGGTGGTGCTAGATTCAACATATATATTCGCGAATATATAATAAGTTTGCCAATAGCTAGCATTGATTTTCATCTGAAACCCTGCAGGACAAAACGAACCCAAACAACAGCACCACATCCAGTTACCCAAAACGCAAGCATAAGTCCCAAATAGCAGGAAGCTTTAAGCCCTAATCACCCAATCTCCGAGCTTCAAGACCGGCGAACTTAACCCCGAAAACCCGGAGCCCCAGGCCAACAGCTCAAACCACGAACCTGAAACCCAACCCCTATGTCACCCACCCAATTCCGGAAGCCTACAAGCCCTAACAGTTAAGTATCTGTCAGCTGATAGGGTTTGGGTAACCAATCCAGAGTTTGAGGCTTCGGGTGTCTAGGGTTGGGTTTTAGGCTGGTCTTTTGGGGCCATGCGGTGGGTTGTGAGGAGACGACTTTGCAATCGTAAAGTACGGTCTTCTAGGTCTACAAATACCGTCGGTACAACCCCCCCAAGCCCTTAGATAATGATTATGTATATTCGTGTGGAACCTCAGAAGCCCCATACCTTACTTATAAACTTATCGTATAATGTAATGATCCGGGTTCCCCTTGCGTGAGGGCTGCCTGGCGAGCTGCTCGCAAGCGCTAGCACCTGCAGGCACTTGGCGATCTGCTACAGGGTCTGCCGGATTTGGGCAGTTCTTTGGGCCTAGTATTTCCAACCCAGACCCGCCCATCCGGCCTCCGATCCAGTCAGAAGGAGCCAGCCGGCCCGCCCAGGAAAAGTAGCTAAACTAGCCCTAGCGATCGCGTTGCATGCAATAAAGCTTTCAAAGGTGCAGTGTGCAGCACAGCCTTGCCAAATTTACTATGCAATTGTGGCGACCCTGCATTCTTTCGGCACACATTGCCGGCCCTGCAATACTGCCCGAGCAGCTTGTCCAAAGCTGATAGC